TTTCTTAAGTTTTCTAATGTAAATGATATATTTATAAAATAGATATGTCTGTAAATACATAAATTACGACAAATATAGTATTAAATTAGTTTATTAGAGTAACATATTTGAACACCATAGAATTGACAGAATTCGTAATTACGCATCCCATGCGCCATGCTCTGAAACTCCGAGATAATGCTTTCGCCCTGTTCGCCAACTCCGTCAATGTTCTGAGAAATTTTGTCGTCTACTAAAGAAAAATGACTTAAACAGCGGGATGTCACTCAGCTAAATATCTATTTAGTTAGATACAGTAGGTATATAGGTACACTGACATAAAGCAATAATTATGTAGGTAGATATTATTTTTCATATGTAATGGCTACTAATAATGTTCTTGTTGCTTAATAGTGTTTTTTGAATACCAGATACAAGTACATTATTTCATTTTGTTATTTTATAGGTGTATAATTTATAATCATCTATTTTATTTTTAAATTAGATGTTTCGAGAACAAGGAGACATTTAACAAAAATTTACACAAGTTGACTTGTTCCTTATAAGGATAAATTTTAGGCGACATTTTGGCAAAATCTAAACCAATTTCAACTTTATTTTTTGCAATTGATAAAGTATGATTACAATTTAAAGCAAAAGGAAGAGAAAAAAAACAGGTTGCAATAGATCCTGTAATCTATATACTAGTATTTAAAATTCTAATTTAAGGTACAGATTTTGTACTGTGTTATTTGGACTTTCCTTTTACCTATTATGTTTAGGTTCATAAAATTATATAATAATATAGTAGGTAAATATTAGCTTTGTTTAACATTGTAAACAAGCAACAGATAAGTTTATTGCTAGTTTTAATTAGCTGAAATCAGAAATGGGCGGCAAATTTTATAAAGAATAACTATTAAAAAATGTTTATAATTAAGTTGACTTAAATGAAAGTATTTTGATTTATTATTTATTACACAATTAAAATATAAACTTACAAGTTATACATATACAAAAATGTAAGACTAGTTTGTTCGCCAGTGATTGGAATAATATTTATTATCATGATTCGATCTCATAATTGAACATCAGTCCTAACATTTATGAAGCTTATTTTATAACAGAGCATATCAAAGACATTCAGCAGACAGAGACGACCTTATCAAAATTCAATATCTTTATTTGTGTTGGAAAAGGACGGTGCACTCATAGCTCGACTAATCTCGATGGAACAATGTTGCGTCTCAATTCAAAACAATATCTACAGAAATGTTTTAAGAGCATTTCCAGTGATACAATTCTGGTCCTTAGCGTCATGTTGTAAGAAGTCAAATTTGTATGAAACGAATTCTCTTACTTCACGTTTCGTAAATGAATGAAGATTTCATCCACTATGAGTTCTGTATAAGTTGTTTCTTACATTGTAACTGTCTGAGTCAATTCAAATACCAGGCGGGTGAACGTTTACGCCAGTGTTACTTACTCTCAGACATAATTATGAGCGTAATAATTGATAAAGTTTAATTTAATACGAATAATTAGTGTACTTTTAAAAAAGAACCTACCGCAGTGCTACTTGAACATACAACTGCCTCTTTCCACCATAATCTATTAAACGATCTTCGTAAAATAATTGCTTTGCATACCTTTGTTAATAAAAAAATATTAAAATCATGCAAGAAAGTTTAATTCTTCTGCATTGTCGTTCACATGTGTTTTTTTTTTTAATTTTAACGTATTGCAAGTATATTTACGACGCAAATTAATTTTTAAAAATATCTATTAAACATGTACACCTATACAAATTTTGACCCAAATAAAAATCAAACATTGTGTAGCTAAAACTGTTTAAAAGTACAGTCACATTATAACTGTCTTATGACCGCATCGGTAACGCGAACCAATAAATCATAGCGACACAGGATCGCGCCGCCCCTCGGCTGGTCTCAAAATGGCCGCCCACAGCTGACAGCTCTCTTAGGTACACATTTTTTTGCAACACAACCACTTTGTCCCTTACCTTTTTTAATGGTAAACCGGTTAAAGAAATTTCTATAGTGTAGATAATTTTTTATTTTGGTTAAAATATTTCTCTTTTAAAAGGTATTTGAATAAACGATAGGCTCAAATTTGAATAATTATTAAGTAGATAGTGAATGTTTTAGAATTTTTATAGTTATTATTTTGTGATGACCTAATTTATAATTTCAAATCCATTAAATTTCTTTAATAATCGCATCTTATTCTTAATTTTATCTGCGTCGAAGACATTTAAATTTACTCTGATTGGGATTTGGATCGTTTCCAAAATACTCATATGTAACTTATATATAATGTAATAAATTGTTTTGAAAATGTTATTTACGAAACTATTTATATATTTTTATATATACTAACAATATACCTATTCGAAACAGATAATTTTCCACTAAGTCTAATTTTAAATTTTATTTATATTTTATATCTATTTTTACGTAAATAGAAATAGAATGGTAGTGTTCGTATTCGATGAAACACATCGAAATTCCTACTAGACAATTTTGTTTACTTAATGTTATAAAAGTTTGAACAAGTTTTCCTTTTAAGACTAGTAATTACTATCTACCTATTGATACATTACATAAATATGTAAAATTACACTAAATCGATTCAAATACATATGAAGAGTGAAGGACGTGTACAATTACATTTTATGTTAAGTGAGAAAAAAATAGTATCATAAAATAATATTATGAATTGTGATAAATAAAATCAGCACATCAGCAAGATGAAAAAAAAGCCTAAAAATGAAGACCTAAAATATATAACAGCAAATAGTTCGCAACAGCTGTCTTTATATAATATATATAGTAAAAAATTTTAAACATAAAAATGAATACAATATTTTTTATAGACTAATACTGTAGTAATTTTTACTGTTTAATTTAATTACATAAATAAGTATTTTAATACCTATCCATTATGTTCAATGTTTATACCATGCCTAATTTAACAATTAATAATCACTTAACCCACCTGTCATGTTTGAAAACTATTTGCAAAACTTCCCTTATATTTAGGCAAGGTTTATGTTCAGCAGTGAACAGTTAACGGTGATATGATGATATTATAATTACTATTTCATACAAAATATCCGATAAATAGGTAATTCTTTCTAAATATTCAGAATATTCAAAACATCAGAGAAACGTAACGTTATATTACCATTTACGATACATTAAATATATTCCTAGGACGTAGCATTAATAATTCTTTAATCTTTACAAAGAATAATATTTGACTTTACTCTGTACAAGTTGCCTTGTTTCATCTTTATGATATTAGGTTAAGTTCGCTCCGAAAGGATTAAGGCAGCTCTTAATTCAACGCTCCCGGGCCGAAATAAATTTAACGTTTTGAGAAGCTTATGAAGAAAAACTTGTGATGTGCGGACGGGTAATCTCTCTTAAAATTTCTTGAGATATCGCCCATTAGGTATATTACAACCATCCGGATAAAATATTCTTAAGCGCATTATGTATAAAAATGTTTTTGCATATTTTATTGGACGTGACTGTACTCGTGCAACTTTGTAGGTAATATATTGTAATTGGTAATAATGTCTAATTTATTTTCAAATACAGAAACAATACATGCATATAAATCTATTATCAAACAGACAAACGCTATTATGACAGATTTCATATTCAGATTGTTCAACCGGATTTTAAATTCGTCTAGGTAGTACATTTTACGCGAAGTAATATACTCGCGCCAACATTTTAACTGCCATGCGAAATTTACGCCCGTTCCCAATGACAGCTGCATGTAGGTAGTTACCTACATGTAGGTGTACCCTTAATATTGCATATACGTGCGGTAATTGGAACGGTTCATTCGATATTTTATTTTCCGCTTCAATTTTATTTTATTTTCAGAGCGGAACGCCTCTAGCAAAATGGAAGGTAATTGTAGGCTGCGCGGCGAAGGGTTCCCCTTGGGGAATAATTGTGCGAATATAGTAAAGCCTTTGGGAGAATTTAATGTAAGGTTATGCGAGGCGTCGTTTTAGGCCTGCTCGCGTAACGCTGGACCAAGGACGAAAATTATCTCGGTAACGAGTTTCGTAAAAGCGGCGATGGGAACTAATGAGTCTATTGGGTCCCCTAACTCGTTGTGTAAATATTTTTATAGGGCATAACTTTAATTTTCAGAGTGGACTATTAATTTTGACGGTTATGTTAGACGAGCGTTTTGTTAAAACGTTTTCATGGAATTAGGGTGGACTTCATAGTACCTACCTCATCAGAGTTTGATGATTGAAACGGTAGACAGAGATACCCACCTATCTTAGTTTATGTATAGGTATATACTAGTGTTATAAATTAGGCACTTACTTTTATTTGAATATTTAAGTTACAGAGTTCGAGGAAAATATTTTGTAGGTCGATGCAAGCATTTACTTACAGTAGGTATTTGTACCTATAACATGAACGCAAGTAAATATGAGTAAGTACCTATAAAGAGAAAATAGACAATACACGTTATCATCTATTTTCTGTTTATAAGTACTTATTAAGTATGTACATATTCAATCATATTACCTACTGTACAATTGAATAAAGAGCCACATGAATAAATCAATACCTAATGTTATCTAGATAAGCATTGGGTAAGTACTACAGCCTGTAAAACGAAAATATTAGATAACCAATAGACACTTTGTGTTACATTCTCTGTTGAATTACACATAATTATACTACAGAATATTCCGCACGCTCGTTTTAAGCGTGGTTTAAATAAATCCTTAGATTAAACCGGCGACGAAAATACAAGCCTACATATGAAGACACGGTTTCCACGCACAGTTAATTAGTCGTTTTTCGTAATATCACACTGCACAGTACAAGCAACTTTGTTCCTTATATGTAAGATACACATTGGAATGAAAGCAAAATATACGTTGGCTTCGGGATAAAAGCGGCAAAATGGACCGCCATAACGCGATTTGCAAGTATATAAGGTAAAAGCATACTCACCGTTAGGACGGCGTCACGCGGGAGTTGAACCTCGGACACACTGCACACCACTGAATATTTAAAATAACGAAAAGCCCGGACAACGGTCCCGGGGCGTTCCCTTTTAAAAATGCACTGCACTTTGGTTTTACTACGGCCGTGCAGGTTGGTCGAGCAGATATTCTGAAGAACAGAATAACAGTATCATAAAGCAGGTGGTTACTGGAAACACCACTGAGAATAAACACCTCCAAAAAGTGCTGGCGAACGATCAGTGTTGAACTCTAAAATGTTCTTAGCTTGATTTGGAGGTAAGCTGCAAATATTTAGTTTCATACTTCATATGCTACAACTAACAAAAATTTTTAACAATCACAGAAAGGACAAATCTTAATATATTTGTATTTTTTGTTTTATGTGGATATATAACGCAATATGCTCGCCAATTCTAAACTGATGATGATAATTATTTTGGGAACCTACTCTATGGATAGAGGGTTCCATATTAATTTTGAAATCCATATTTTCTATTGGGAATTGATGTTGTCTTATATATATACATATATATGAAAGTACTTTACCTATCTTGTAGTAGGTATTAAGACGCACACAAAAAGCTCTTATTAACATAAGAATTAGTCAATCAATAATTAACTCTAGGCTCGCCCTCAAAAGGTCAGATTTAATCTAGAAAGTACGTGAACACTGCTAATTAATGCTAATTAGAAACAGTCAAGCTACTCCATTACTCCCTACTAAGGAAGGGGAATCGAAAAAAAAGCCAATGTCCCGGAACCTTATTTAATACCGCATTTTTCCCGGATCTGGGAGTACCTTGGTCCATTTGAATAATTTTGCCGTAGATTCAACCTAAAACGAAACCTTCTACATTGTATTCGTATATATGTTTATACCTATAGGTAGGTATACATAACCTTTTTTCGTTTATTACTTGAAGTTACTTTTAAATTAAATTATATATAATAATTTTTTTAATGAACGCAATTTTCTATCAGAATTAGTTATATTAAGTGAAACTTAATTACCTACATAATAATATTTGGTCGTATTCGAAGCCAAAAGATCAAGATCAACATATACATATACCCAATATCTCTTTATAAACAATTAATTTGATAATTGGAACAAAAACAATTAGGCAATATTATTATAATGACCGTGTGTCTTTAATTATAAGTCCAATTAATTGTTATGAAATTAAATGCCTACTTTTACGTAATGAAGTCAGTAATCACTACCTATTGTGACATAAAAATACCATAGGGTAATTGTACTTTCAATATTACACTATGTTAATTTCAGATTTTGATGGAGATGGAATATGGCACATTAATAATTTATATTCGAAAATAAAATTTACAACATTTTTGAAATCATAAAGAAAAGAAATCAGAGCACTTTACTTGAATCAGTAGAGTAATTAAGGTAATAAAATGAATTTACATTTATTGAACAATAAAATCAGTGAATAAATCATTATTCGAATTTTATTCTACTGAATCTACTTTGCATAAAACGTTTAAAAATTATCTGACATCTAAATAACATTCCGTTTCATTACGTACGGGTTACGATGTAAATACCTACTGCAAATTGGGAGCACTCTGTCGATACGGCATTATTTTTGCATAATCAGGTTTCAAAGACATTTGTATGCAAATTGGTGCTGCTTTCATCAGAAATCACATGAAGAAACAAGACCCTAAGAGTTTTGCAAATTAGTGCCTGGGCTGTTATGCAAATATTCGATTATTTGAGAACAATCTACCCCAGATTCTTGACTTGAAATATAGTACTTTGTCGTGCAAACTGCAACAAAGTATGGCTTACCGCTATCGCACTAATAGAATATCTAATAAGTTCACGATAATGATATACTCACCTAGTATAGTAAGGGAAATATAATAAATATAATAATCTATACGAGAATGATATCTTAAATTATAAAATGGGAGTAATTTAAAGAGTAACAATTAGCATCTTATTAGTCTGTGATGAATACAATTTTATTATTCCTTAATTGGAATATTCTAAAGCAATATCTTTGTCGACTACCGACGATCCCTCCCCCCACCTAGGTGGTGTGACAACCTCAAATGCATTGCAGAGTCAGTGGATGCAGGTGACTCAGGATCGTTACTTATGGCAGTGTATTGGGGAGCCATATATTTAAAAGTGGACAGATAATAGCTGATATATGATAAAAAAAATTGTCGAATTGAATGAGTTTTAAATACGCTTAGTAAATGAGCGTTTATTTTTAAATTAGGTATTGGAAATAGGCTACAAACATTATATTCATATGTGTATTCTGATTATTGAAAATAATCACAAAAAAAAAACCTAACATTAATTATTACTTATGAAAAGGTTCTAAATTTATTAAAATTGCTTAGATTTGTAGTCGAAGTAGAATTTATAATTAAAGTGCGGTTGATTCCAATACGCATATTTATTACAGCAAAAGAATACTTTAAATATAGTCATAATATTATAAGAGCACGTATTACTTCGTTTGTGATGTTGAAATAAATGTTTATAACTTTGTAGGTGGAGGGAGCACGCGTTGCCTATATATGGATGGATGTGTCGATGTACCCTATCTAAAAATCTGTAGGTAAACAACTATGTTCCATAATACAAAGTACTCATAATAAGGTAAAATGTAAAAAAGGAAGTAATACTTATATTGTTTTTTTTTTTTTAAGTAGATGGACTACGAGCTACGTTTATAATAATAATTTAATAGTTTGTGTCATAAAAAAATAATCGTGATAAAGTTAGCATGAAATCAACTAGGAGTAAATCGTATTAATAAAATAATGCTAAAAATTTCATCAACATTGGTACGGAATTCACGAAAACATAGCAAAGCGTAAGTACTTACATTAAACAATTCATATAATTGAAAATCTTTTCCTTTTGAAGCCAATTAAAAAAGATTAACATTAAAAAAAAGTTCTTAATATGTTGATAGGATTCCTTAATAGTAGGAACTTATATCTCAGATGTAATCTGTATAGAATTTATTGATAAAACTTTTAACATTTAATCGTAATATGAGTTTTAATTAGGTAAATAAGTTATTAAGATATACATATTAGGATATTAATAGAATACAATATTAAATAATAATAAAGAAATACTGAATTTTTATTTTTTTTTATTTTATGAAATATTATTTTAATTTATGAAACTTACTAGTGCTATGACAAATATGTTTAATAAGAACCCGCTCTTAAACAAAATATTAAAATGAAACTCAATTATTTCAACATTTTTTAGGTATTTATAAAGAGTGTTTATACTGTGAAATAACAAACACATAATTATTATTTACCTGTACTACAAAAAAACCTCTTTAAAAAAATAGTCCCTTAGTATATTTATGTTATGTAAGATTCATATGTTAAACCTTAAGCTATATAAGCTCTTATGTATTTAAGGCACAACAGAAAGCGGGCAGGCGTCGACAGCGATTGATATACGGTGAGCAAACGCGAGCTGACTCACAACTATCGGATTGTATGGATTATATGTGTGGTGCAAGTTGAACACTCGTAATTTCGTATAAAAAATAGAAATATGTGAAAATAAAACTATCATGTAAATGATTTGTTGTTATCTTTATATCAAATAATTTTGTATATACCTATATCTACAATATAAATATACCTATGAAGGTCTTTGTGCATTATATGAAGCTCTACTCATTTGACTATAACATAGTCTAGTTTATAATATTATTATTAACAAATATGCATATAATTTGATTTAATTTTGTAAATCATTATGTCATAAATAATTAAAAGAAAGAAAGTTTCTAATAATTTACTTTGTAACATAAGTAACATACACTTTCCTTAGAAATATTGAAAATTACAGCTATGGCTACAAAGAATGTTTGGTAGATTGATATCTAGAGAGAAAAAAAATGGTTAATATATTTTATAGTTATTAAAATATAACTCCTGGTTCCCAATTATAATGTATTGTAGTATTTATACACGTTTATAAGCAGATATTGGTTACCTATAGAGTATAAAAATAATTTAAAAATGTTTGATATGCTGTGTAATTTATATTTAGATATTATATACGAATTGCATCTAGCTGTTTAGTATTGCTGAAGTATTTTAATTTTATTATCTTTTATAATAATTTACTAATGAAGGTAGATTCATTATGTCGAAAAATGAAACGTTTAGACAACCTATAGATTCCTTGGCATATTGTTTTTACTGAAGTTAGTAACACAAATATTGTACATTAAATATAATAATTGTCGCTATAATCTTACCACTTAGACCGCAAGATTATTTCTTCACATACCTACGTGAAATTTTTACGTGAGCACTATTCCAGCTACGCTCGAAGAAAATTTAATTCAAAACCGTTCAATACTTTTGATGAGTTTCTGGCGGCAATATCTACAGTTACCTATAGATCTCTTTAGAAAAATTGGTGTTAGTATCTAATAAATTAAGAGAAATATCTTATTAATATAACGTATAATGATTATATTTTTAAAAGAGTACTTAATATGCAAATTTTAAAATTAAATAACAGTTTAATTTACGAGCTACTTGATTCAATACGAGAAATGAAATGCAGCTAAATACATGTATCATTCAATTTTTATTTCACTTTAATTTATTCAATCGTTCATCTAAAAAGAAACGGGTCGATTTATAAATTGTTTTAAATTTAAGCATAAACATACAAATTATCTAATACCATTATTATAGGCCATTTCGTATTATCCGAGGTCTTTCAAAATAATATTAGTAATTCTAATGATTTACCTTTTGAACTATTAAAGACCACAATGATTCGTTACAATATTATATCTATATTAATTTATTAAATTCCCATTGTGTAATATCCGTATATATCTACATATATATGTGTTTTTAAATTTTTTTTTACTTTTATGTTTCACGATTTTGATTACTGAAGTTTATTGAATAGTCTTAAGTTAGTTATACTTGAATAAAATTGCATTTATTTGATAGAAGAGTAATTACTAAAATTCGAAACTGGAATAAATTTTGTACTGATATAGTGAGGAACGAAGTTTATAGTAATATGTGACAACTTTGAAATTATCCGTCAATTTTCAGGAACAATTGAACAGTTTTAAATATTTCTGTTTATTTATTTTAAAGCGCTCTGATAAGAAACTAAACTCATGTAGCAAGTTGCACATAAAAAAAACACTGAACATTTTGCATCTAATTCGTATTTTGAATAAGAATGATGCATTGAATGATTAACATTTCATCTATCATAGTACAATTTAAATAAGCATTCAGAAATAATGAAAAATGTTCAGTTATTTTGAAAATTGACGGTTAAAGCAGTCGCTGCCACACTTCTGTACGATGTGCCCTTAAGCCACATCCATACTGGTAATGCGAGTACATCACGTAGCGAGTAGGTACGGGGCACGCCGTCGCCGCCGCCAATCTAAATAATTGACCCGTCCGCTGTCCGCCCGACTTGTAAGTTCTTAGTTCGAACGAGGATGGAGTAGAGATAACGCTGATGTAAAAATATTTTATAATATTTTTTTTTTTTTTTTTATAATGGAAAAATGAATAAGCCTACGACTACAGTTCTAATGAGATCAAAGGTATACCAGCTGGTATGTCAGCTGTTGCGGTTGATGTATGTAATACTCGTACTTGATATGCCCCATTTCACCAAGCATATTATAATCTAATATAGTATGGAGTATTATAATAATTTAGCGTGATTATTTTCAATTTCCGCTTTTAATTTAAAACTTTAAAATATACAATTATATCCCATAATTTTACTGTATAGTTATCCCCATAATCTTATTGATATTAGAATTTTAGCTGGTTTATTTGGACCGGATACGGAAGTAAAATTAGACAATGCCAAAAGAAATACTCACTAATTCATGACAAACGTTACATAGCAAACGGCCGAGATAGACAGCGCATTATAATGGGTGGCCAATAGGCGCCAAGGAAGTGAACCAGTGTCGAAATGTCGCGATAACTATAAGTTTGGTGACAAATGTGAATATGTTTACTCGTAGACATACATATTAGGCGTTGAAATTGCTACATTTAATCTATTATCATTAATGTAACTATTTTTCAGGCTTATCACACTAAACTATTTCTGTACAGTCTTATTAGTATTTGGCTGTGAAGTATATGGTATAGGCAGTGATTGTCACTAGCAATAACCAAATATAAAATCTGCTACTATTTTCTATTGAAAATGAAGTACGAATTGTGATTTCTATGATTAATGTACAAAAGTATTTATTCAGTCACGTTTTACGGCCTAGTCGGTCCGTATCGGTTATTAACACTCAACTATATATATGTTTTTATATGATATTTGATTAAATGTCTTATATAAAAAGTAAATATAAACGGATATAACATTAGTGACGTATGATATTTTATTTCATGTGAAAATTGACCTGTTACTTTTAAAATATTCCATGCCTAATGGATACACCTCCGGTGTATATGTGTCCTTGTATAGACAAACAAGGGACTATACAACGACGGACATTGAATTATAAATACAAATGAAATACAAACGGCTTAAGATTTAGTAATGTACTGGATAGATAGAAGAATTTTTAGTAGTAATATATCTTTCAATTGTATATACAACTAGTTACTTCTATTTATTTATTTAAACTTTAATGCACAGTAAAATTCTATGTACATTTGGCGGTCTTAACACCGGACGATGTTCTCTACCAGTCATCCATTGGGCAAACCGAGAAATACGTAAGCGGTGCATTTTTGAATACAGAAAAAATAAAGCAATACTTGATAAATTCATATAATATAAGCATACACATAATATATTGAATAAATAAATATATAAATAAAATATTACTATATAAAACAAGTGAATAAAACAACTGCAATAGAGAAACAAATTGTAATCTATGACTCAAACAGAGTAACCAGCAGAAGAAGCTTAAAGGGAAAGTGATTTTTCTAAGAAATAGGTGCACAATTTGTGTTTAAAAGCTAGCTTGCTTAGGGTAGATCTTATGTCAAGCGAGAATGTGTTACATATGACACATAATATATAATATCGAATGTTATGCAGAGCAGTTATTGGAGTGCAAATTTAGTGCTGTTTTATGTAATATTTATTTTATTAATGTATTAATGTGTAATCTGTTGCCTTGCTATAAATAAATAAATAATGATGCTTTTGTGTATTAATTTTCTACTGGCTTTAACATACTAAATAGGAACCTATTTTACGTATATAACCTTTATTTATTATACTATTCGAGCGATTCTTTGTAGTTATAATAATAATAATAAAGTTCTACTGTTTTCATTATTTAATTACTAATAAGTAGGTAGTATAACCGACATTAGATATATTAAAATTATCCATTTGTATTACACATGATAATATTTAAATTTCGACTCCTCACCACTCCGTTTTCATGTATAACAGTAAAGGGTGGAAGTAAGAAGTAAAAAGAGGAAAAAAAGTGTATTATTAGTCTCTTACCGAAATGGAATTGGAACATTTCGCGCAGAAAATTTCAGCAAATATTCGCTTCGCTTTACTTAGCTGAGGCCAACCATCATACTTTGCCACTTTTACCTACAAAATTTAAGAAAAATTCGGGAGAGTACAACTTTATATTTTCATTGCAACTCGTTTTATATTTTCCTTGAAAGTTTCAAGATATAAAATAATAGGTTTTGTTTGTTGTGTTTCCTTATGGTTAATTATGATTTAATCGCAGGTGGTGTCTGCCAGCGGTATCCAACTAATAATCAAATTAACTATCTTAATTTAAATAATAACAATTCGATTTAACATCGAGTTTAAATTGAGATTGACCGAAACGGGCGTTAACGGCCTAACAAATGAACGGAACAATTTTATAAATAGTGCTGTCAAATATCGATATAATGAAGACTTTATGTATTTTATTTCTTTGACTTTGCCGCCAAGACGGATGAGGTAAAGGATAAATAATATTGGGCCGTCAGACTTCATTGTGGAGCTATTCAAGGGGAGAAGTTACGACCGTGACAGGTGTGATGTCGAATTAACTTCTTATATAAAGTCTCATTTTATACAACACCGACTGCTTAATAAGTCCGAGGGATCATCGTAATGAAACACGAGGTCTCTTGGATTTTTCCCAACTCCGACCTCTTTTCCTTGGTTAATTAAACTTCGCGAATTAAACCTTGATTACATTACTTGCACAGGACAGTTTAATATAGATGGGTAGATATGGTTTCGTAACCACCGTTTAGCGACCAACCTGCACGAACGTACGCGTTGGAACACCGTGAGTATATTGTGTGTTGAGTACCTGTAATGGAATAAAAAATACATTAGACATCACAGAATAAAAAAAAAAGTTTATATTAGGCATCAGTAGATACGAGTATATTACGCTACGCACAGGAAAGTTTGTGACATGATAAAAATGCATAATGAACGCACCGAGAACTTGTTCTGGCGTTTGATTATCTGATCGGTCGTTGAACTTTCGATTGAATTATCAAAATGTAAGCCCGTGACATGTTCCGAGCTTGGGACTGAACACACTGACAGCTCGTATGCGACAGAAGCTGTTTCATTTAATCAAGAAAGCGGATGCATTGTACGTGCAGCCAATGACCTTTCTGAAACAGATGCTTTGGAAGGGCATATTCATGATTTCGAATGCGCCATATGGAAAAGAACAATGGACGATTATTCATAATCACCTATGTCTAAACATGCCCAGACAAGGCAACTGTAGGTATATTTTTTAAAGCATGCTTGTGTGTTTGGGAACCTACCGCACATATAATATCTAATATCAGTAGTATACATACACAAATAGAATTCTCATAGATTGTTTGCTAAAGAAATTTAATTTAAAAAAAGATGCACTAGGAGGTCTTGTTAACCTTATGATAAATAAGTTGCTTAATAGTCTAATCTTTACGTATATTATTAACAGACCTATTTCGCAATTTTAAAAATTTTTAAAGATTCCTGTTCTATATTATGTTATATATATGTACTAGCTGACTCGATAAACGTTGTTTTACCATATACATTATTTCTAGAACTATACATGAAAATATATTATACTACAATTATTATATTCAATTGTCATCTTGCAAAACTATTGTGGTATATTAAATATTGCGATTTATTAATAAAAATTGCGATTAAACAACAGGGGTTGATCGTAAAAGCGTGAAAATTTGAATTTGTATGTAATGTTTTTAAAATATTTAAAAAATTGTTATGTATTTAAAATAGTTCGTACACAAAACTAGACAATAAATTTTTTCACTATTTACTTAATTACTTACTCAGTATTACTTCCAAGCTAACTAAATTTATTATTTAAATATATACCTACATTATTTTAATCACCTACAGTGTGTTCATACATATTACACCGATAAGATACCACCCAATCACAAAACTAACAAAATATTCCTATCCGCCGATAGCGTAGGACGTCATCACAGTAGTAATGAGACGCCATACGTACTTAGAGAGTGGCTGTCTTATTTACATAAACCGAATTTATCGATGTTGAGTCAGACCGGAGGTGCAGGCTCGCTCAACAAAATAACATAAAAACTAATTGAACCCAGCCAGAATGTCATCGTATCGATAAAATTACAATTCATGAAGGCGCCAGATGTACTGCGTCGGTTTATTGCTGAAGCGCAAATTGAAACCTCCATCGGTGCAGACAATTGTTTCAAAGTTATTGTTTTCCTATTAAAATTTATTGGAGAATTTTCCTCGTAAACGATATGTATCGCAATTTATTAGTGATGCTAGGTTTTAAAACGTCGTTGTATGCAAGAGCAAATGTAATTCGACATTTGCCTAAATTTAGTTATGTAATTATATATCTTATATTACATGAGAGCTGTGAGAAGTATATGTGTATTAAAAGTTAGAATGAGAAATAGTGTGATTATACAGAAATGTGGATTGAAAGACGATGTAGTGACAAAGATCGAAAAGGGAATGTTGCGGCTGTTTGGTCATTTGGAGAGGATGAATGAAAGAAGAATTACGAAACAGATTTATCAAACACGAATTAATGGAGATGTCGATAGGATTCGTCTTAAATGGATGTATGTCGATCAAATAGGTGGCGTACTGAAGAAGAATCAAATTAAAACTATTCGTAACTGGCTAGCGTCTATGAAAAAATTTTTCATCAATCTTAACGGAGGAAGCGGTCTATTTGAATCGAAGTATTTTGCGTTCCATTCTATCCACCTTACTAAAGGAAGCCTTGTTTCTATCATATCATGATGGAATAAAGAATCACACATGAGAATTGTCGATGATCCCAGGCTCGCAGGCGGTATCGAACCCTTAAATCTTAGGAGAGATTTTGCCTCACTTTGCGTGTTCTACCGCCTGAACAATGGATTGTGTTCAGAAGAATTGTTTAATATGATGCCCACAGCCACTTTCTACCATCGTACGGCTCGCCATCGACAGGGAGTTCATCCTCATGTCCTACAGCCTCAATGGTCGCGTACTGCTCGGTTTCAGAGATGTTTCCTCCCACGAACACTCAGGTTGTGGAATGAGCTCCCTGCCGAAGTTTTTCCAAGAGACTACAGCATGGGGTTCTTCAAAAAGGGGGGTAAAGAGGTTTCTTCAGGGTCGGCAATGCCTGCGTAATACCTCTGGTATTGCAGGTGTTCATAGGCTATAGTAACCACTTACTATCAGGTGGGCCGTATGCTTGTTTGCCACCTCAGTGGTATAAAAAAAAACAGGACGAAACTAAAGACATAAATATCCATTTTAGGAAGTGTTTTAGTAACGACATTTAATATACCATATATGTAAAGAAAAGTGGCCGATTTATATTATATGTTAGCACAAGTGGAAGTGAAAGTAATAATATGAGACCCAGGCTGGACTCCGGTTCTAGGTCTCATGAAAGGAGTTTATATGTCAAAATGGTACGGGCTCACCTCGCTGCAGATTTTGCGTAAGCGGTACACGCTCAGGATGCACCAGGATTCAGGAAGCCACGCCACGTGAATGTCACAATGGCGTTGATCTATTTTTGTCTACTCGTGAAAACTACACTATATATATTAGGTACGTGTAAACAATCACTCGAGACACTTGGGAACGATAACAGGGAATGTCCACGGGGTTCATGAGTTTTCCACACAATAAGTAGGCACAAAACAGCAACCCGTTGCAGAGTGTTACACGGTAGATGTTGGACTGAGGCCGACCATTTAACAGTTTTTCTTATGTCAAGGGAATCGATAGAATATTACGCGATTGGAGGGTATTATAATATTTATAGGGATGTGACTTTCTTAGACAGTATATCTGTAGAAAACATAGGTCGAAAAATTAGAATTTTTCTGCTAATTTAATAGTTAGAGACATCATGATATAGATATTTGGTATATTACGTATTTGGTGGCATAGATATGTTTTAACTTATATTATGTGATAAAAACTTTTCGTTTCACGAATATAATATAAACCGGATAAGTATTAAATATATAAAAAGAAACCTGTGGAATAGTAAAACAATTATTTTTACAATGAGTACAAAGCCAAAATTCTACCAACTGCTAATTAATAATCTACACTATCAAATATTAAATATACTTAATTATTAAATTTAGTCAAATATACAGATTTAACAACGCATAAGACAATTACTCAATAAAATAATTAACAAGTGAAGCAAACACAAAAAAAAACATTATTTAAAATTACAGCAAACATATCAAATTCTAAAAAACCAAGCAATAAGGATAATGTTTATTATTAATATTATATATGGACAGTTAACGGCTATATCATCACCATAAAGGCAATTAGGTATACCTTGCCTAGTATTTGCTGGTGTGAAAAATAAGCATATTAACTATCTTACAAAACTACTATTATCGTAAGACTTAAATTGAAAACAATCAAGATTGACAAATTTCCTAATATTTTATTTACTTCCTAATAGTTATTATTTACATTCTTTAATAAATCCTTTCATCCTATTTTGTTCTATTAACCCTTTTGTGAAGAGTAAAGTAAATACAAATCCTCTATAAAACAATTACATTATATAAAAGCTTTATATAGATTCTGTGTTACTTAAGTTTCTCTACAATTGAACAATTTTATTCCAAGAAATCGTATAAATATGATATCAAATGAATGAGCTGTGAAGAAAAAAATAAGGGCAACTACCTACCGACATTTATTGTCGTTGATTATAATTAACGCGCTGGTATACCAATATCAAAACAACACACTAAAAATGTGAATATTGAAAAAGGGAACATATTTCTTGAGACTCATGATTGTAAATCATTTAACATGAATCAATTGATCAGGGACTATAATTGGTATACCTATATATACTTACCTATATTTATTTGAAATTATTGAATATCATTAGATTCATCCTTTCATACATTTTCTCATTAAGTAAAAATTAAAACCACTATTCTGTGACTCATTATTATGTAAAACTATTATCTAAAGTAGATAGTGGCCTCTTTGAAAGAATGTCGAGATTGCTAATTTTAATTATAAATTCTTTATTAGACGCCTGATAAGTTTAAATTCATCCATATCTATCTGTCATAACAATGGTAACCCATTATATTACCCATGGTACATTACCGATAGTCATATGGAGTGACAAGGTTTCTATACAGTATCGGACAATCACACAAACAATTCCACTGGTGTTGTAGGCATTTACAGTTTACCATCAGACAGGCCGTATTCTTGTTTCTTATCTGTGTCAAAAAAATAATATAGTTACAAATCAACATCGTCCATTATTTCATTGTTCACGTTATTTTGACATGAATTATGAATATGATTATGCCTGAATTACATTTTATAACAATATTGCAATTATTCATTAATTAGTGTTTTTATTTTACTGTATTAACATTTTTCCCGTTATTAGACAAACAACAGAATAACCTATGAGATAAAAATTGATATTCAATTTGTGACAGGTCAAAGCTCGATCAAAACATTGACGTCAAAATATTGGAATTGAATTGAGCGCGGAGTCGCAATCTCTTAATACCCATGTCAAGAGATGAGACAGCTACAATAAATTCGAATAACCGATCGTCCGAATAAGAGTCGTACGTACGATTAACCATCGTTCGTATTACGAAATTTATAAATGTTCTTTATCTGTATACTTCGCGGTCTCCGCCTCATGCAACAATGTCTATTGATTGGACGCCGGCACGGAGAAGGCGAGCGTTCTATTTTCGAATCTCGATCCCGAATTATATCACGTTTATCGGACCGGTCCACGGTCGTATTTCG